AAGGGACCATAATTTTGACAACCCCTCTGTTCATCCTCAAGCCCAGGCCCAACGCGAAAAGCCTGACGCCCAGCTCCTGTGCACTCAGCTCTAGACTCCCAGCCCGAAGCCCTGAAGCAAGTTAGAACTCAAGGCCTTACAGCACTCGAAACGAAAAGCCATTACAGTAAAACACCCCTGAACCCCTAAACCCTCCTAAAACCCAAAAGCCCTGACACCCGAAAGTCCTAAACCCCGAACGCCCTAAAACTGAAGGCCATGAAAGCCCGCCCCAAAAAAAGACGCCGAGAGAGGACGCTGCCTGTCTTCCTTGCAATGCTCGGATGGGGAGTTCTGCCATCCGGAGAGGCGTTTAGGGTTTAGGGTCTCACCTCAGCCTCAAACCCAACTGTAGACCCTAAACCCTCAGTGCCTGAGAATGCCATGGGTGATAAGTGAGTCTGGATGCTAGTGTTTACACGGACAGTGTGCATCTCTCACCCCATGGGGTTCTTGAGAAGGCAAAAGCGGACTGAAAAAGGAGCCCTAAACCCTAAACCGAAAAACCCGAAGCCAGGAAGCCCGAGAGCTCTCAGACCAAGACTGAACTGTCGAGACCTTGAGTCCTCAACGCGGGGAGTTGGTTGCCATTGCGGTTTAGGGCTTATGTTCGAGCTTTTGTTGCAGGAGCTAAGGTTTTGTGGTTCACGATTCAGTTTAGGTTGTGTTTGGATTCCGCTGGTCTTGGAGTGTTGGGTCGTTCTGCACACTCCAAAATCCCAAACTCTCGCTGCAAGATGCGCAGAGCTATCATTGGGAGGTGTACCCGAATTCTCCAGCTTACTTAGAGTCATCCCCTGGCCAGGAAGACTTGTGAGAACTTCTGTGTCGACAGAAACAAAGGCCCGGTCATTCGCCTGACGGTCAACGTCATCATGGCAGAAGGTGAATAGCAATGCAGGCGGTAATCACAGCTGTAGTCTTCCAAGACATCACAGGCTGCATGAAGCTAGGCTGAATGGCATTGCATGGTACTCTCCTTGCACAACGTCACAGCCTTCGCAGCTTTTTGAACGGCAGAAAACTGCGGTCAGGACATTCCACAACCTTCTGCTCCTCATATAGAGTCCTCAAGAAGTAGAATGGGGTTTCGGTGTTTATACGGGTAGTTCTCTAAATTGGGGTCCCTTTTTGGGTCCTTTTAAAATTAGGGTGCCATACGATTTTGCACAGTGAGCCCTTTGACCTTGACAGTTGCAGGTGACGAGGAGATGACTCGATGCAGCTCTTGCATGCAGCGCTGTCCGAAGAGGACTTGAGTTGCAAGGGTTTCGGGGTGCCTTTGGGATAGTAGGACTAGGTGTTTCAGGGCCTGAGGCGTCTACGAAAACCTGAAGGATTTAGGTTTAGAGGTGCAGGTGTTTAGGTGTGAAGTATTTGGCTGATCGAAGGATTTAGGCTACGAAGCTCATTTCGGGGGTGTTCTCGGCTCAAGCTGGACTGAAGCTACCCGGAAGAGCATGCCATGGCGCAAGGCTACCTTTTAAGGGCTGGAGGTTTGCATCCTGTGGGAAGAGGGATACCTTCTGACCGGGCTCAGCACCGGATACCCCTGACCTGACCGGGCTCAGCACCGGAACATTAACTTCGCCGCCTTTAGTAGAGGCCTTAATAATTACCTACATCATTCGTCAGCGTTCCTTATTATAACTATACCGTAAGGGAGCCAATAACCCCTCTACTAATTATTTGATCAGGAGTCTACGAGAACCGGGATCCCTTGAGATCAAGACTCACGTCACATCCCTTGCAACCTTGAGGGTTTGCGGTTCCACAACCCTAAACCCTAAACCC